TATTCATTGCATGCAACCCTGTACATGAACACATATGTAAATACGCAATGCATACAGCAATGTACAGAATAGAGTACACATGCAAAAGAGAGGTACTTTGACTCCACTTTAGAGAAACATGCTTATTAAATGATACACGTAGTGAAATCTGCGCAAGTTGGAACTAAAGCCAGAGAAATGCAGCTAGTAGGGAGTTTTATTCTTCACTATTTCTGCATGAAATGCATCTGTATCTTCATCATTTTTGCAATACTACCCTTGTTCATCCAGGCCAATCTGTTAAGAGAATACATTCCGTGATCAAGGCAGCACCTCAAAGTTTGCTTTTAGGTGTGCAAAATAAATTCACAGAGACCCTCTTGATGAGGCTGCCTTTGCACAGCAGTTCGCCAGTGACTTCGTGCAAGAAGAAGCCCATGCAGCATAATAGAAAACGCGATTCCAGCAGCACGCAAGATGAGCTGCAAATGCTGGGCAATTGATTAGCAAGGCAGTGCTGCTGCAGGGAGGCCTCTCGGCGATCCTTTTCGTAAGGTGTCTAAAATTGAATGAGGGGAAGAGTTAACAAAATGCAGGATAGAGCCCTGGCTCATTTTACAACTAATTCAGTTTCTCCCATTGTTAAGTACACCAACAAAAACTCCCTCAGAAACAAAGATAAATACACAAAGCTGGCTGAAGATAATTTTCAGAAATATCTTTTTCCCTTAATAATTAACATTTTAAACCAAGCTATAAGGGAAAAAAAAATCAAGGTAATTTTATTTCTTACTACCTGGGGCTACACAGTAATTATGGAAATGGCAAGGAATTTGTCACTTTGAGTAAGCATAAGTGTATCAAATAATTTGATTAAATAAAATATGGTCACCTTAGTCATCATAGTAATTTGACAAGGACTTCAAAAATGTCTCTCTCTGTTGAAAATGTCAACAGACAGTTTCCTCAGCTGTCTGCTTCTGGGTTGAATATGCAAAAACTCATCTTCAAAATGATGTTTCTTTAGGAAAAAAAAGGAATAACAAATCTAGCAGTTTCACCTCACCCATTAATTGTAAGCCCACTGACTGTTCTCAAGCTGAAAAAGTGTGACTACAAAGCAGTGAGACAGAGCCTCATTAACCACATTCAGTCATCGATGTCATTATTTTGTCACCACAACCTCAAACTTATTTTTCTATAACTCTAAATAGGGAAATGCCTACCCCTTCTTCATAGGAACACCCTTGGTGCCCCACCCAGGAAACTAGACTGGCCTTTTTTCAGTTTTCAACCTGAGGAAATTCGAATGTATTTGTATGTATGCCTCAATCTAATCATCTAGAGGTGTCAGAGGTTTTAATTTCCTGTACACACCCTTATCTACTCCAGTCCTCAGTAATTTGATACCACACAGAAACCTCTATAAGCAGGGCTACCCTCAGCAAGTGGCTTAAAACATTTTAGGGGGTCTCTGCAAAGCACCAATAAGCACATGCCAAATGACTTTCTATCCATGCAGTTCTCATATGCCTGCATCTTCTCCAACCAGTCCAAGACTTAAGCACATGTTACATCCTTGCAAACAGGACTGGAGTCACTCGAAGCCAAAACCCAAGTAGAAGAAAATTAAATTGCATTCTCCATTCCATACAAAATGACTATCAAAGTGAGCAGGCCTCTCCTCTTATGCTGCAAAAATTATTTCATAGCCAGTTAGGAGGTTTAGGTGACTATGATGGAACATCCCTGTGACTATTGCCTTATCTGAAGCATGGTTTCCAGTGAAGACGTTTGTAACTGTAATAGATTTCAGAATCCACAGTTGGCCCAGGTTGTACCTGGGTTCCTTTATCTAGATCACTGAGTCTAGCTTTCAGGATCAGTGTCTTTCTGTACTCCCTGACACCAAGGCAAAAGTTGCAGGTCCCCAGTCTAGTCAACAATTGATGGCCTTCTTACATACAATACAGTTTTCTCTTGAGTTTCCTCCCTGGGCAGGTTCTTGGTGGAAAACTAACACATGCATACATACACACACACACACACACATTTTCTCTCTCTCACACACACACAGACACACAAACACACACACACGAGTCCTCCCTCTCAAAGTTGCTTCTTAAATCACAGGCAACCTTCTGCTCAGTTCTGCAGTTGGGAAGCCTACACTAGTGTCATTCAGGACACTGGGAAATTTGTCTTTTCAGAAAAAATAAGCAAATGAAACTGCAAAATTTTAAGGCAACTTGGGAGATGAAATAAGAAGGTGGACTCTGGGAATCTAATAGGAAATAATGTCGTTGGCATAGAATTTGTTATCACTCTCCTCTCTGTGAAAGGGAGCATTGCTGGCACTGTCCCAAGGCAAGCCCTTCCTCAGGTATCTGGAAATGCCTCATTAGAGGGGCAGGCTGATTGCCAATGTAAAGATCACACATAACGCACACTTAGCACGTGGACCCTGCCCTGTGGTCCCCTACAGGGTCTCAGGTTTCCTAAGAAAGCCATGATGAATTAAAAGGAAGAAATCTGCCTTTCCTGCAAACAGCCTGCAATATTTCATTCTCCAATTATCCACAGAGAAGTCTCGCATGGCTGAAGGAGCAAACTTTTTTTCCCCATCTCCCAAATAACAGATGAAGAGAAAACTCTGAAGTGGCCCAGAAGAGCAAAGCCCACAGCAAGCTGAGTCAGTCAACCCTGACAAGCCAACTATTTATTTTCATGAGGCTCCGATGGCAAGGCAAAGACGAGGGCAGCCGGGCAAAGCAAAGCCCTTAGAGCCTTATGCCTCCACTCCTAGTAATCAAAATGAATTCAATTTCCTAGGCCTGTCCTCTCCTGGGCCTCCAGCTGCTTTCTGCAAGTCACCTGTTGACTCCTGTTACCCTACCCCACCCAACCAGGCTTTCCATCAGCTAAGGCTAGAAGTGCCAGGATGCCACCACCAGGTGGACCAAATTCCTCCTCTGCCTGTCATTCCCCTGTTCTGGGATTAAAGTCAACCTCCTATCTCCTGGGGCCAGCCCTGCCTTCAGAAGTCCACCACTCCAGGAGTACTCGGCTTCTTAACTTTCTAAAGGAGCTAGGTCATTCATCTAGTTGCAGACCGGCTTCATTTCTTTGTCAAATCCTTAGATCATTGCAACCGAAAAATAGTAAGCCCGTCCTTTTATCATTCCTGGGGTGAAAAGTTCTGTTGGTGTTTGCCACACATGAATAATGCACTCTACTGATCAAAACTGGTTTGAGGCAAACAAACCGTTAAACTGGAGGCAGCTGTTGATATACTAATTACCTCCTTTTAAACATAGACCCGGTTAGGTATTATGTACTTTGCATATGTCACAGTACAGACCCACATATATTTTATTAATGTGTATTTGCATCTCTGTAATACATGTACTTAAATATTTTAACAGTCAAATTCCCCCTAAGGAAAGGCTGATAAACTGACTCCCAAAACACAATTATCCCCTATCCCTCAAATTCCAAGGGCCAATATGTACTGTCTGCAACTGCATATTATAACTATAGGCACAATAAGTGTTATTTTATAGAACAGAAAACAAGGTGTGCTTTTGACTACAGGGTTCACTTGCAGTCTACAAGTTACAAATGCACAAGACAGAGACCGGGACGTAAACGCTTTTCGTCTCAGAAGGAGCAACAGAAATGTATTTGATTTTCAAAAGCCCTAAAATTGTCACCCCAGGAACAGAGCTGAGTTTGAAGACCTTCTCTCTCACAACCACCTAACTTACTTAACACCGGAGACCAAGCACTGTTTGTATTTCCCCTTAACAGTGAGCCCTGAGCCTTAAGAGATAGTTTATGAATGGTATAGAACCCCCAGCGTCTGGCCCTCATTAACTTTACCCCAAGGCCAGGAATGAGGGATTAATCATAGCATCAGGATACGCGTGGTTCTATCTCTAGATGTGGTTATTCAATGGCCAAAATCTTGTCCAATTCTATCTCCATCAAACTTGCTCAGGAATACTCAAAGTCTATGACATTTGATTCCAGTTGCGGGTCAATAGCCAAGTAATGATTTAACACTATAAACTCTAAAAAATTTTTTCCCGTTTAGACAGGACTGTACTCAGGTGTGGAAGCACGCTCTCTGGAACTCAAGTTGGGACCACCTGAGGAGGGGAGGCAAAAGCGACAAAGTAGGTACCTGACAGTGCTGAGTCATTACAAGCTGTTTCCTCTGAAATGTTATGCACCCATGGGCCCTCTGAGCATTAACATCCCCTTTCTGGAGGCAAATAAAATACATATTCATTGTGCAAAATGGTGCAACCTTCTGTGGGCGACAGACCACGATGGGGAATTTAGCACTAAGAGTGGATAGCAGGAACTACACAAACTCGCAGCTGCTCTCTAGGTACCGTAACTTTATCGCAGACGCTGAAAGAGGGCTATAGGGATGCCGAGTGGGAATAATCCCCCTGCAGCCCCGACTCAGGTCAGGGCCACACTAGGGAGCATTTTACTCTAAGCTGTTATATCCCCCTGTAATTGGCGGATGTAGAAAGCGCCCGGAGAAAATGATGCATAATAGATTTGTTCTCGAGGAGGATGCAATGGAGAGTAGAGGACGCAGGATGCTAACTGGTTTTTCTTCCCATGTGCGGGTCACCTGCAAACCCCGATTGCTTTCCTCTCCAAGGAGAGCCCTGAAGTCACCGTCTCGCTCGGCTCTTAAGCGGGTGAGAGGAATAGTTTTACGCCCACCTGCCCGCCGCCTCTCGTCCTCCAGCACCCCCAGCCCCAGCAGGGCGCGCGCGAGCTGCTACCGGCATCAACGGTCCCGCCCGCTACCCGCTCGCTGGCAGCCCCGGCCGGCAGCTCCCCCGGCGGCCGCCTCTGCACCACTCGCCAACCTCCACGCCGGACCGAGGTCATGCCCGCCTGCCCCCAGCGCCGGGCGGCCCCCTTCTCGTGCCAGGCGGCCGTTCGGGAGCCGGGCTGGGGAAGGGGCCCACGGCGGAGTTGGCTCAGGGACTCACCAGGTAGGCGCCCACCGTGCCCTGCGCCAGCATCAGGGCGCACTCGGACACCAGGAATATCTTGATGTTGGAAAAGCAGGACACCTTCTTTTTCTTTTTCTTGTTCCTCTGCGCCTCGTCCCCCTGCAGCTCGCCGCTCCGGCCGCCGCCCGACGAGCCGCCCGGCTTCTTCCCCTGCATCCTTCCCCCGCCGCCGCCGCCGCCGCCGCCGCTGCCGCTTTCCCGCTCGCCCCGGGTGTCGGGGCCGCTGCCGGGTGGGGGTGCGCGCCTCGAGGCTGCGTGCTGTCCCCGCCCCGGGCTCGCGGCTGCTGCCCCCGTCCTGCCGGGGCTGGAGAGGTGGAAAGCACAGCTCCTCACCGCCGCCGCCGCCGCCGCGCTCGCCCCTTCCTCCTCCTCCTCCCCCGCCTCCGCCCTCCCCTCGCCTCCTCCTCCGGCTCCGGCTGTGCCAATCACAGGGGCTCCTCGCGCCGCCCGCCGCCGCCGCCGCCGCCGCCGCCTCGCCTCCCGCGACCGCCCGCCGCTGCCATCGTCCGCTTCCCCTCGCCCGCCGGCCGCGCCTGCTCTCACCCCCTCAACCCCAGCCCCAGCCCCAGCCCCAGCCCGGAGGCCTGGGCCTGGGCCGCCGCTGCGCGCCCTCGCCGCGCCGCTCCCCGCTGCCGGTGCGCCCCCGGGGAGGGACGGGAGGCGGGCTTGGGACGCGGAGGGCGGCCCGGCGGCCGAGGCGGGGAGGGTCCGGCTGCCGGGAGAACTGGGGAGACCGGGAGTCCTTGCGGAGTACGGGGGGTGCCCCTGAGGGAGGGAGGCGGCGCCCGGCCCCTAGGTGGCGCTGCGGGTCATGGGGCCCCGCGGCGGAGACTGGCGGCTCTGCGCCGGGCGCGGAGATGGGGTGCGGAGGCGCCCCCGCGGGGCTCGGACCCGGCGCTCGGGAACCCCGGTGCCCAAGCCTCAGAGGGCAGGCTCTTCCCAGGAAGGGAGAATACTGACTACCCAGGAAGGGTTTGGCGCGCGCTCTTCTCCGCCTGGGGATTTCTGGGGACAGATGTTATGCTCTGGGCCTTGGGGAGGTGCCAGAGGTCAGAGCTGCTTGAGGCTTCTGCCGCCTGCCGGTTTCTGCGCCAGCTCTCCCCGACCACAGAGGGTGTTGAAAAGGCCCCAGACCGAAAAGAGAGAAAGGGGAAGTTAGAGGAATACGTCGGGAACCCCACGGACTGTTGGTGCCCCAGCCTCAGTGTCCAGGCGCTGCAAGATCGCCGCGGCCCCAGCAGAGGGCCTTGTCCGGCCCTCCATCCGCCCAGGGCCCAGTGGCTCGAGCGCGCAGAAAGCGGCCAGCCACAGGCCTGCTGGGTCCCCACCCTCCCCTGGCTCTGTGGCCCTGGCCACCATCCTCGGCCTTGACCTGAATGCCTGACCCATGGCAGCCGCTCCTAATTACTCCCCACTCTCACCGTTACCAAGGAGTGTGGGCCACAGGGCACTACCAATAGGATCTGCTAGTTGTCAACTGCAGCGTTTGGAAGCTGAGAGAAAAGCTCAGAGGACTGGACAGGTACCAGGAAACAGCACCTTCCACCTGGGCCACTGGGGGACTCAAGGAATCATTTAAAATGTTTTCCTTAATAATTGTGTCAAAGAAAATGACCCACTCTCCCAGGCTCCTGTGTCTAAATGCAGGCTCAACTTCAAAACTGAATAGCAATGAACCCTACCATATTTTTCCTTTCTTCCGAAGAACTTGAATGAGAATAGAGGGTGTAATGGTGGAGGTGTTGTTTTGCCATGGCATTTAAATATAAACTGCTTCATCCTTCTGTGGCTCCAGACATGATCTCACCCAGGTTTGGTGTCGCTTTGAGATGCCCCCACCTTGTCTAGGCCACGTCCTATCTGAATTGGCGCCCTCCACAGAAGTCTCTTCCCATTTTCCCCACTTCCTGAATCACTGGCCACACCATTCCCGGCCAGTCCTATAATGAGAATCCTTACTGCCCCCTCCTTTCTTCCCCACACCCTCCCATTACTCGGAGCCAACTTTTCTACAGAATCTTTATGTCCCCTCTTTCCCTCCCCATCACTTTGCATCATGGGGTACCTCCCCACTTCCTCCTGAGAAGACCCTTGACAAGCTAGCTCTGTTCCCTGCCTCTGTGATGATGAGCTGCAAAGCTGAGCTGAGACTTTACTTGTCTATAAATGGTGACCCCATTGCTAATGAAATGTGCAGAGTGCATTATAGTCTTCAACTCTTATTTACGTTCTTTGTACTAAAAAAAGCTAATGTTTACTGTGTGCTTATTATGGCCAGACACCATTCTCAGTGCTTCAACCGCATTTACAATGTAAGCCTCACAACAATCCTCTAAACCGGATACTGCTATTAGCCTTGTTTTACAGATGAGACAACTGAGGCCTAGAAAGGTTAACCTGATCAATGTCACTTATCTAGTAAATGGCAAGGCAAATCTTTGAAAACCAGGGTGTCTGCCATCATAGCCCAGGTTCTTTATAACTACATACATATTATCTCATTTATCACCCAGTGTGGTTTGTCTCGTGGGGAGGCTGGGACTTATGTTGTTTCTCTTTTATAAAGCTAGAAAGGGACAGAACTTGCATCCATGTCCATCCTTTTTTTTATTTATTTATTTATTTATTTATTTTTTGAGATGGATTTTGCTCTTGTTGCCCAGGCTGGAGTGCAATGGTGAACTCTCGGCCCATGGCAACTTCCGCCTCTCAGCGATTCTCCTGCCTCAGCCTCCAGAGTAGCTGGTATTACATGCATGTGCCACCACGCTCAGCTATTTTGTATTTTTTTTTTTTTTTTTTTTTTTTTTTTTTTTTTTTTTGAGACGGAGTCTCGCTCTGTCGCCCAGGCTGGAGTGCAGTAGCCGGATCTCAGCTCACTGCAAGCTCCTCCTCTCGGGTTCACGCCATTCTCCTGCCTCAGCCTCCCGAGTAGCTGGGACTACAGGCACCCGCCACTTCGCCCGGCTAGTTTTTTGTATTTTTTAGTAGAGACGGGGTTTCACCGTATTAGCCAGGATGGTCTCGATCTCCTGACCTCATGATCCGCCCGTCTCGGCCTCCCAAAGTGCTGGGATTACAGGCTTGAGCCACCGCGGGGCCTATTTTGTATTTTTAATAGAGACAGGGTTTCTTAATGTTGGTCAGGCTGGTCTTGAACTCTGACATCAGGTGATCCACCCACCTCAGCCTCCCAAAGTGCTGGGATTACAGACATGAGCCACCACACCCGGCCAGCCTTTTTTGTTCTATACCACAATGCCTCATGTACACACTGAGAAAGGCACCAATTTTTTCAGCTTAACCATTTATTTTAGATTAAAAAATTAGCTGTCTTTAGAGAAATCACACACTTTTGCTGCCAGATAAAGGATTTCGGATTAGGGTTGTAGATTCTTCCTATAATTAATGGTAAGCAGCCATGAAAGTAATCCTGTGCCTGAAGCCTTAAGAATCGTTAAAGTCAGCCTCAGGGAAATTAGGCTGCAGCCTCACAACAGTCAGAAAGAAGGAATTTAACAAGTTCAACTCCCTTCCTTCTTTGCTCATCCTTTATTTACTTGTAGATCAGGGTTCTAGAGATGATAAGGTGGGTTTATGAGCACCAGGTGCTTCTGCTTGGCATTCCCCTAGCCCGGTGTGCAGACAGAGGAAGCAGCATAAAAATAGTAAACACGCTTGTATCAGTACAGCACGTTAATGCTTATGAAGTACTTTCTACATTCTATATCTCAGCTTACAACAGGGAGAGCTGGTCCTATTTGCCCCATTTTTTCTCAAAAGAAAGGACAGCAGGTTGGTTTTGGGAGCTCACCACCAGCAGGTGGCAGGAATTGAGTCTACATTTGCCACCCCAAATTGGTGGGAGTGAGAGGTGAAGCCAGCTGGACTTCCCCGGTCGGATGGGGACTTGGAGAACTTTTTTGTCTTACAAGAGGATTGTAAAACACACCAATCAGTACTCTGTAGCTAGCTAGAGGTTTGTAAAATGCACCAATCATTGCTCTGTAAAAATGCATCAATCGGCACTCTGTAGCTAGCTAGAGGTCTGTAAAATGGACCAATCAGCAGGACATGAACGGGGACAAATAAGGAAACAAAAGCTGTCCCCCTCCCCCCGGCTCCCCCCCCCCCTCCCACGCCCACCCCAGCACACTGTGGAAGCTTTGTTCTTTTGCTCTTCACAATAAATCTTGCTGCTGCTCACTCTTTGGGTCCCTGCCACCTTTAAGAGCTGTAACACTCCCCATGAAGGTCCACAGCTTCATTCTTGAAGTCAGCCAGACCACGAACCCACCGGAAGGAACCAACTCTGGACACAGGAGCACCAAGGAGGAAGGGAGAGAGGTAGAGGGGGTTTAGCACTTCCATAAACTGCAGTGCCCCCTCCAAGGAGCCTCTGAAATAGTTGACACTCGTGAGCAGCAAAGCCAACAACTTAAACCCCATTAAAAGCCTCAACTGGGCTTCCTTAAATGTTGCCTTGGAGAAATGCTGTAACCACCACTTGCACTGGCCCTTTTTCGTTCATCTCTCCCTCTAGCGGTGGGTGGTGAATTTAGGAACAGGTCGGTATTATGAATGACTCTAGAACCTTTATGATTATTTCAGCCTCTCAACTACTTTCTGGACTAGGTGACTTTTCAAGATGAAAATATTGCTAGCTAAGGCTGTGGTTCCATGATTCCTTACTTTGCTGGCTACTAGAGGTATTCCAAACATTGAGAAGCCAAGTAATGTTAAAATCTGAAGTAGGGAAGCAAAAAAGAAAGTGGGGCGACTTGGGAAGATAAACTGGCTTTTGGTTCGCAAGATATTAATAAGCTATAGGTAAATGCTTAATGATTAGGATTTGAAGAACTTTTCTTCTTCATTTTAGAGAGGACCCTCTGTTCATTTTGGTAGGAGAGAAGTGGGTTAACTATATGGTCGTGGAAAAAAACAATATCTTCCTCTGTTACTGGGCTGTGGAAGATTTCCCAGCAAGCAGCTTCAATGTAATTCAACACAATGAGAAATTGTTGTTCAAGTAATTCACATGAAGCATCTTTTGCCAGCTACAATTTCGTTCACAGGCAAATACAAAGTTGAAAAATAAATGCAAAGAATGATTTCTGATTGTCACTGGGATGGAAAATAGATGCTTAGATTCTCACCCTGTGGATTTTTTTTTTTCTGAAAATGCACCAATCATATATTTTGTCCAACCAAGGATAGAATTGGGGCTAGGCCAACTTCTTTGGCTTGAAACTAATATTTGGGCTGAGTTGAAGCTTATTTTCTTTTTCTCAGAGTTTTTCTCTCCCCACCCCCATTTTCCAATTAGCCTGATCCATATGCCTTTCTACCAAATAGCCTCTGTTTGCTACTTACTATGTTCATAGTTTCATGTTGTAAATTATATCTCTTAATTTGAACGTGCCCTAAAGCTCAGCAAAGAAGTGAAAAGGATAAACATCAATGTAGATACAATTCTAAAAAATGGTGAATTCAAGTGGAGAAACAGAAGAAAGAAAGAAGAAAGTTAATGGAAATAGAAAGAATCGATATGACAAAACCAGGGTTTTAGGAATGTGTTATATTTACGGAAAATGAGTTTTGAGGTAAAGGAGAAAGAAGAGAGATAATAAATATTTCCCAATATTAGTACATTTGGGGTATAATTTGTTTATCCACATAGACTGTTAGCTTCTTAAGGGTATAGAAAGTGTTTTACTTTAAAAATAAAGGATCGGCCACATTCACGCCTGTAATCCCAGCACTTTGGGAGGCCAAGGCAGTTGGATCACCTGAGGTCAGGAGTTCAAGACCAGCCTGGCCAACATAGCAAAAACCCATCTACTAAAAATACAAAATTTAGCTGGGCGTGGTGGTGAGCATCTGTAATTCCGGCTACTTGGGAGGCTGAGGCAGGAGAATTGCTTGAACCTGGGAGGCAGAGGTTGCAGTGAGCCAAGATAGTGCCATTGCACTCCAGCCTGGGTGACAGAGTGAGACTCCATCTCAAAATAATAATAATAATAATAACAATAATAACGAGGATCATTTATTCTCCTCAGTGCCCATCAGGCCTTGTGCCAAGAAGCTTAATACCTCTGATTAGGACAGAAGAGACCCAGAAAGTGTCAATGTTTATAGAAAACTTCCTTCCAGGCATTCTCCCCAGGGACCCTCCTCTCCATCCTCTGTGCAACTACACACACACCTTTCTTGCAGCAAAATTTGTCCCCACGAGCCCCTTTCCCGGACATAATGTCTCATCCTCTCTCTCGGAGGAGGGCTTTCCCAGCTTTGCTCCTCGTCTCTGAAAAATGCACACAAACCTTGATATTTGGAGAGTGGGTACTGCTACGGTAGGCAAATGACATGAGCCAGCACTGGAAACCAGGTGAAGGCCCAACAGCATTTCCACAATGGAAGCATGAGGGATAGCGATTATCATGAGTTCGTGAGTTCCAAGCTCAGCAGAAAGTGGTCACAGCTGTCTGCCCTCCTGAGGGGTAGTGGGTGCCAGGCCTGGGTACCTCACGTGGGCATGGTGCAATCAGTGCATTAACCCTTGGACTGATCAAAGAGAAAGAAGAGTTTCTGGAGAACATACAAGGAGGTCATGAAAAAAAAAATCTCCAGGATGTAGGATGCCACTACAGAGAAAGAAAACTTAAATTAAGAGCATGGGTTATAGAGACATCATATACCAATGGGAGAAAGATAAAAAACCTCTGCTCAGGATACATTTGTTTCCTGCACCCTAGCTTCCTTATGCTGCCTCCTTGCCATTTCTCCAGACATACTCCTCTCCCATACTACAGCAAGTAGGAGGGTTGAGGAGTGAACAAACAGAACGAGAATTCTGTCCAACCTTTGATGACCTGTTATGGGCGGAACTGTATCTCCCCCAGAATTCATACGTTTCAAACCCAACCCCCACTACCACAGAATGTGACTCTATTTGGAGACAGGGCCTTTAAAGAGGTAACCAAGGTGAAACAAGCTCATATGGCTCCAATCCAATAGGACTGTATCCTTATTAGAAGAGATGAGGACATAGATACACATAGAGAGATGACCACGTAAGGACACAGGTGGAAGGCACTTATCTGCAAGCCAAGGGGAGAGGCCTCAAAAGAAACCAAACCTGCCAACACCTTGATCTTGGTCTTTGGTCTTGAGAATAGTGAGAGAACACATTTCTGTTGTTTAGGCCTCCCAGTTCAGCAGCCAAAGCAGACTAATACATAACCGTAACCCTCTCCCAGCCCTTCACACACCTTATACGCCTTCTGTGCTTAATCACAGTTCCTTGAGCTCACCATGCAGTCTCCTCCTCTAAACACTTGCACAGGCTGTTCCCTCTGCTTGGAATGTCCTTCCCTCCCCCTTTCTTCAGCGGGCTCACACCTACTATTATCTTAAGATCCAGCTAGTGTCACCACCTCCAGGAAGTCCTCAGAGAATACTCTCTAACTGCCTTCTGACTCCCTCCCACCTGCTTCCCCTCCCCACCTGAGCCAGCCTCTGCACAACCTAGCGTGGATCCTATTGTGGAGAGCTCTCACTGTGCTTCTCCCTCATTAGCCTTTGGTTGGTGTCTTTCATTTCTATATTTTTGCCTCCTAAAAGAGCCAAGCTCAGAGTGGTCAGTAACTGTGAGGGAGAGAACAAACAAGTGAGGACACAAGAAGAAGAAACCCTTCCTCACTGGAGCTGCCCAATAGGTATGGGACAGGGGAAAATGGCAAGAAGAGCCCATAAACATTAGGAGGAAAGGAGAAAAGGGACATGGTATTGACGGTAGCTATAAGACTGCACCTAGCCAGGCAGGAGGTGAGAGCAAGAGGGATTGCCTAGAGCCTGACTACTCAAAGTGTCTCCCTGGGTAGCAGCACAGGTATTAAGTGGGAAGGAAGGAGAGACAGAGGGTGAGGGGGAGGAGGAGAGGGAGGGGGAGAGGGGGAGAGGGGAAGAGGAAGAGAGGGAGAGAGGGCGACAGGGAGACAGGGAGAGAGGGAGAGGGGGGAGAGAGAGAGAGAGAGGAGACTCTCAGCCCAGATATGCTGAATCAGAATTTAAAGTTTAACAAGCTCTGCAGGTGCACATCATGACTTGAGAAGAATTGGCTTGGAATGGAATCAAAAGAAACCTAGAGTTAGACAATTTTTGTATTTTAGTATTTATATTCATTGCCCTTTTTTATTGTATTTGGGGCTTTAGAAAAAAGGACTAAGAGGAACAATTGTCTCTAAAGATGACGCTGGTTATTTTCATTCTCTGGGAATCCTCACACCGTGGAGTCCCGCAGGGAGGGAGCATAGACGACTAATAACATGCCCAGGGAACGGGGGAGTGGAAGAGAGGAAACCTGCCTTTTTATTTTGTGTCTGACTGTTGTTTTGGTGGCATATCTGAATCTCAGAATGAAAGTTGAGATGCTGAGCTTCTGGATCATGATGGTTGCCTGGATTTCCCCCTCCTAACTTCCTTTACCCAAGAAAAATCCAAAGAGGCTGACAGGACATAAAAGGGCTGAAAACCCAGGATTCCCAACTATGGATGGTCAGTTTCTCAGGGAAATTACTCCTCACACAGGACAGATGGGATGGCCAAGGAAGAGGAGTGCCTACTTCCTCTGTAGGAAGAAGAGAGGAAGGTTCTACAGAGAGGATGCTGGGTGGTTCCCCAACCAAAAATCCTGACGGTCACCTCCTGGCTGCCCAAGGATGGCATTCTCACCTTGCTGAATCTGTCTGTGCAATTGTAACTCCCAGAAAGGCGCAATGAGCCTCGGTGAAAGGGGTGGGTGGTTGCAGAGTATGCCCTGGGATATAAAGTAATGTAAGTGGGAATAAGGATGGGAAACTTTTAAAAAATTATCTACTGCTGGGTAACAACCCACCCCAGAACTTAGTGGCTTAAAACAATACGTACTTTGCTCAAGAAATCTGCAGTCAGTACAGGGCTTAGGAGGGAGAGCTGGACTCTACTGTCAGCTAGGATCATCTCATTTGGCACCTGGCACCTGGGCTACAAAGACAAACAGCTGAGGGTCAGAATAGCTGGGCCTCTTTGGACATCTGTTTGTGGGCTCATCCTGATCTCTCCAGCATGACAGCCTCAGGGCAGCCAGACTTAATGCATGCATGCTCCGGGCTCCCAGTGTACCTGCCTCAGAGAGGAGGCCATGTGACTTTCATAGAACGTGACTTTCATAGCCTCAGAAGTCAGCCGTGTTAGTTCTGCTGCGTCCTGTTCATGGAAGCAGTTACAAAATTCCATCTGGACTCAAGAGGAGAGAACACAGACTTCACCTCTTGGTGAAGGATGTTTGATGTCACTTTGTTAGAAGAACCAAGGAATGAGGTATATATTGCAGTGGCCATCTTTGGAAAATACAATCTGCCAGATACATTGAGAGCTCTGTGTCTTGGAATCAGAGCTTCCCATGCACTGTTTCAGGCCACAAAAAGACTATGGAATGTTTCAGAGTATTTAGTAATGAATTCATCTTTCATTTACAAAGAAACAGGGAAGCAAGAGGAATTCATGTCATGGTGTAACGGTACACATTGCTAGCTAGGCACCATAGCTTGCTCTCCAGTTAAACATTTAAGAGGAAGATTCTGGCAGATCCAGAGTACAAACAATTTGGACAGCGATTTCCGTGTTGGAGAGGGAGTAAGTGCATATGTGTTGGGGGATGGTATAAAGATACATTGAGTCTATGAAAAATATTCTGTAACATATAGCAGGAGACTCGCTAGACCAATGAGGCAGAGAAAAATCATGCCTGTTTAAGGAAAAGCTAACTGCATAAAACAGAAAAAAAGATTTAATCTTGCCTTTTCTGTGTTCTTAATACCAGGCAGTATGTGCTTTCTGAAGTAAGAATGAAATTGATGAAAAAGATGACACTTGAGATTCTGAGATTGAAAGGGAAACTGACATGTAAGAATTGAATTCAGGTAAACTAAAAATAAAATTGTGGAATCAAAATTCAATTCTGATGAAGTGAAGACCAGAATTGAAATTACAAAGAGCCAAATAAATAATATAGAAAACAAGATAGAGAAGTTTTCTATCGATGCAGAGAAAAGAAACAAAAAATGATGACAGAAAAGATAGGTAATTTGGTCGATCAAAAATAAGACTTACTCTATGGATAAGAAGGACCCAAGGCAAATATAACCAGAACAAATGACGTTGCTTTAACATGGAGAAAAATGGAAGAAAAACTTGAGCTAGAAAAAAAAAAAATGTACAACTTAAAATACTGCACCATGTTCAGGGCAAAATTAAAGATGTACTCAGACATAATCTAGCAAATTTGTTCAAATGGAAAAGATTTTAAAATATTCTACAAACATCCAGACAAAACAAATGTTACTTATGATAAAAATGAGAATAGGCTGAATTAAGGGTACAGCACGAGACTAGATGCCACATGAGAAACGAATAAAGTCTGAATGGTACTAGAAAGTGCTTATGACTCAAACTGAAATGTTAATTTGCAAAGAAAACAAAAAGAGATTCTTAGATATTCTAGTCAAGGGTTCAAAAAAGATACCACCCATGCACTTTTCTTGAAAAAATTAAAGAAACGTTCCAGTGAAACAACATGTTAAAGACAAAAACTCAATAGCAAAAAATGAGTTCAAAAGAATTGTGATAACCCAGCTAACCATACTAAATTAAGTTTAAAAAATGTCGTAAATAAAGTACAGTTGGAAATTTTTCTTGAGATAGAATAAAAGTGATAAATAGGTCCATAATTCTAAATGTCATTGGCGAGAATGGAGGAAAAGGAGTGTATGCGGGAAAGAAGAGTGTGAAATTCTTCATCTTGTAAAGAGTCAAAAGTTATATCATTCATGAATTTGATGATTAGAGAATGTATGCATTCAAGTGTGATCTTAAAAAACAGAATTTGGGCTAGGCGCAGTGGTTCACACCTGTAATCCTAGCACTTTGGGAATGCCGAGGTGGGCAGATCACTTAAGGTCAGGAGTTCAGGACCAGCCTGGCCAACATGGTGAAAACCTGTCTCTGCCAAAAATACAAAAAATTAGTTGATCGTGATGGCACACACCTGTAATCCCAGCTACTCGGGAGGCTGAGGCAGGAGAATCATTTGAACCAGGGAGGCAGAGGTTTCAGTGAACCTAGATTGCACCACTGCACTCCAACCTGAGTGACAGAGCAAGACTCCATCTCAAACAAACAAACAAAAACTGAATTTGAAGAAGTCAAAGAAAAATACATACTTATAGAAATGGGGAAAATAAAAACCAAGAAAAATGTTAATACATGTTGAGTATCCCTTATCTGAAATGGTTGGGGCCAGAAGTGTTTTGGATTTGGGACTTTTTCAAATTGGGGAATATTTGCAGAGTGTATGCCAGTTGACCATCTTTAATCTGAAATCCTGCAGTGAACACTTCCCTTGAGGGTCATGTTGGTGTTCAAAAACTTTCATATTTTGGAACATTTTGGATGTTTGGGTTAGGGATGCTTAACCTTTACCGGGGGGAAAAACCATATAATATAATGGAAAACATCACAGACTTTTGAGAGAGATACTTATTTTGGTTCACACACTTCCTAACTTTAGTCTTAGGAAAATTAACTTATCTACTTAAAATCTGAGTTTTCTTGTTGGTAAAACTGGAAAAAACGTACACTTCCTAGCGTACTTGTGGGGATGGATTATCTAAAGAACATTGTTCAGTGTTTGGCCCAATTATGATTTGATAAATGAGTAGTTGTAATTTGTTGCCATCATTGTTTTTTTCATTATCATTATAAAAGATTAAAAATACTTGCATCTCCCTGTGTGTCTTTTCCTCAGGGAAGCTGTCCTGGCTTTGTTTTATGAACGCACTCCTCAATTGTATCTGACATTTTTAAATTCTTTGATTTTTATCCTGTTCTAGATTTCTGATCAATTCCACAGATTTGATTTTTATAATGCTTCTTTCTTTACCCATGATTAATTGTGAGTTTTTACTCGTTTTCTTGCCTGCAACTGATTTCTGTGTCAGTGTTGAGACTCGGTTTCCCTGAGCCCTGTCTGAGCAAAATCACAGATACCCAGAATAATCACCCAGGATGGGAGGATAGCCAGTTATAATAATAAATTTAACTGATTTATCTTCCTATATTTAAAATACCAAGACTTCAGGATTGGGCTAAGAAAATCCAACTATGACCTGCTCACAAGAAACCTATCCAAAACAAGGAGACACATATAAATAAAAAATTAAAGAATGAAGATTTACTAGAAAAATACAAAGAAAAAATAAAGGTATTAATGTTAACTTTATTCAAGACCGGGTACGTAGCCAAAAATATTCAATAGAGCAAAGTACACATAAAAATATAAAATCATCAGTGATACTTTATGCATTAAATATATAAATATATAAAACAAAGGTGTATAAGAAGAAATGGACAGAAAGCAATTGTTTTATGTGAGCCTTTTATGGAACTATTGCTCTTTGACAATAGGAAAAGACAAAATATGTAAGTTTTAAATGATATGTATTATATATAATTAAAAGGTGTCTATAACAAAACCGATGAAAATAGAAAATATTTTCTAAAGATAAGCATAGAAAATGAACAAATTATTAAAAATAGAATTAGTAAAGTTAACATATGAATTCAAAAACTTTTTAACATAACTCTAGAGAATATATAAAGGTGAAGAGGAAAACTAAAATGTAAAAGTAGAAGACAAATATAAAAATAAACAGGAGAATTTTTACAAATACAAAAATATTCGTTAAAGCACAGTAGTGTTCATAACTTTGAAAAGTTGAATTAAACAGATATTTTCATGGCATAGTTTACCTAACCTTAAGAAAAAGGGTCATGAACTTTTAGAAGACATTCTGGAGATATACATGTATATGTATGTATTGTATTACTTCCAAAGATGTTTCATTTTCTGAAAATTTTACCAGTGATAACTTTCAGAATTTCAGAAAGACAGATAATACCATGTTATCTGATTTTTCTAGATATAAAAACAAAAGCTGAGTGTATAAAGATTCATTTTATGAAGTCAGCATAACACTGATCTAAAATCGACAATAGCACAATCAAAAGAAAATAAATGCTATCATGATTTTGCAATGACATGTTAAAATATTGTGATGGCATGATGAATAAATGTGCCAATCAAAAGATGTTATTTTTCTTATATGACATTGTGATTCTTAAATTTATATTAACAACAAGCAAAAAACTAAGAATGTATTGAAAAAGGAGAATCAGAGCATTTCAATTGTGTAGGCACATCCTACTAGGTATTAAAATATATCATAAGCAACTGCAACCAAAGCAGTATGGTACTAGCTCAGCAGCTGGTAGGCAGATTGATAGAACAGAGCAATGAACCCTGAAATAGATTCTAGTATGTATTCCAGCTTAAAGTAAGGGCAACAAAAATGAGAAAGGCAGAGATTATTTCTCAAATGGTTAGGAAAATTGATTAACTCAAGTTATAGCTTTACTATCCAGCAGCCCAAGACAAAAACAACAATAACAGCAGATGGATTAAAGAACCCACACATAGACAAAAACATAAATAAATAACAAACTTCTGGAAAGGGAACGATATTCTAAGCATAAAAGCAATGTAAGTAATTACAAAGGAAAAGTTAGATAGAGCTTACTGTTAACACAGTTGAAAGTCCTTTACATCAAGGAACATGTTCACAACAATCAAATTACAAATTAGAAGAAGTAGTTGTAGTAACAGAGCAGAAAGATAATAATGAAAGAGTACATGAAGTACTCTTACAAATCAATTAACAAAATACTCCAAAAGACATGGGCAGAGTATCCTCACAGAAAACTTAAATACAAAATATAATTATCAGAAAAAAATGTTCACACACCTAATCAAATACTAATTAAAACAGTTACAAGATACATTTTATTCACTCATTAAAATAGTAAAACGTTTTTTAAAGAAAATTTTCTGTGCTGGTGGAAGTTTGAAAAGACTCCCTAAAATAAATTGCTGGCAGAAGTATAAGTCCGCACAAACTCTGTGAAAATTTATTTGGTACTATCTATATAGGTGTCAGAGGTGTTTGAACCGGAGCAACTCCGTATTGAATAGGGGCTTGGTAAAAAAAAATGCAAAGACCTGTTGGGCTGCATTCCCGGTAAGTTAAGCCATTCTTAGTCACAGGATGAGATAGGAGGTCAGCACAAGATACATAAAGATCTTGCTGATAAAACAGTTTGCACTCAAGAAGATGGTGACAAAAGTGACCTCTGGTGGTCCTCACTGCCACACTCCCACCAGTGCTATAACAGTTTACAAATGCCATGGCAACATCAGGAAGTTACCTTGTATGGTCTAAAAAGGGGTGGCATGAATAATCCACCCCTTGTTTAGCATATCATCAAGAAATAACCATAAAAATGGGCAACTAGAGTCAGGGACTGCTCTGTCTATGGAGTAGCCATTCATTCATTCCTTTAGTTTCTTAATAATACACTTGCTTTCACTTTACGGACTCACCTTGACTTCCTTCTTGCATGAGATCCAAGAACCTTCTCTTGGGGTCTGGATCGGGACCCCTTTCAGGTAATGGAGGTACTCAAATTATCATTTCCTTTGACTCAGTAATTTCCCTTCAATGAATTTAATCTAAGAAAATAATCAGACACATGAACAAAAGTAAGTATAATGCTTTGCTTATTGTTCAATACTTATTGAATAATTGTTTATAATACTGAAAAATTTGAAAAACATGTTCATTAGTGGGAGGCTGGCAAAATTACCTTTTTAAGAAAAGACAGTATACAGTCATTTAAAAAATCTTTTCTAAAACTTTATGAAAGAAATGCTCTTAGTAAAATAAGTGACAAAAGGAGAATTTTGAATTATATGTAGGGTAGGATCCAGTTTTTGTTATGCACACAGACACATATTTAGAACAATGGGTTCTGGGGTTAGAATCAAAGTACCTGGATTTGAATCACAACTCACCACCTACTAGTTTAAGAACATGAATAATTTACATAACCTCACTAAGCCTCTGTTTACCCATCTTTAAAATGGTAATCATGAACCTGTCTCAGCTTGCTATTGTGAGGACTAAAGAGTTATTCAGTGTTAGGTGCCTAGTATACAGCCTGGCTCATACATGGCAAATTTTACATTCACATACATTGAGTTATCATTTGTGTGTGTGTGTGTGTGTGTGTGTATGTGTGTATATATATATATATATGAGAATTACAATTTATAAAATTTTCCTTAGTATTAAAAAATGTATGCACATTTTATAATGCATTTTTGCCTAGGCTAATGGGCAGCCTTCAACAAATATCTCATGCACTCTGCCACAGCTCAAAGGCATAAAATGAAACCTTGGCTGCTGTAAAAATCAAAATCCACCCTGCTAAACTTACACTGAATAAGAGATCAGATACGTGCCCCCTGTGCTCACTGCTTTCTAGGTCTTTTCTCTGTAAGTAAATGTTCTCCCATTTCCTTGTCTGGAGCCGTCCTGCTAAGTATAATGGTAGCAAGGGTATCTATGACACAACCCCCAAGGTGGTGGCCACCCCCATTATCCCCCATCCTGTGGATGGAAGCTAAACTTATGGCCAGTGCAACACTTGTGGAGTTCCAGATCCCTTGAACAAATGATCAGCAAATCTGGAGTTATCAGTTAAGGAGGATATAATTTTAAAATGTAGGAAAACCAAGACTTCTAGAAGGAAATATACCAAGTTGAGACAGAGGAAAAAACAGTGCTTCTGTCCTTTCAATGTTCATATCGAAGAGAATGTACAGAGGCTGCATCATTCTTGCTTTGTATTCCTATATTTAAATGTGTTGAAAGAAAATTGTAGAGACAGATATGGAACTGATGATAGAAGAAATACAAACAAAAGGAAATACCAGGTTCTTCAAAACTGAATCACGAAACAGAAAAAAGTCTTCGCTTTTCACAAGAAGTGAAGCCAGGCCTTCCTTGTAATAGAAGATTAACATGCCACCATCCTGAACAATTATTCCTCAGGGGCAAAATCTCTTCCATGCATTTCCCAGGGGCCAAGAAGTCATCTGGGATAGAGTTCGAACTTGGGAATTGGTGAGATAAGGGCCACAACAAGATGTTGGAACAAAGACCAAGTATTGAGTCTTGAACGTCAGTGTGATGTGAAGCCAAGCACAAAGGCAGATTAATATCAGGGCTGGAACTATGAAGTAGATAAGGTTCAAGCTGAGGTCATTTGTTGTACTAATATATTAGAAAGTCTTAGAGGTCGATAAAACCTCATTCTCTGAGAAGAGTCAGGTACAGCAATTTAATTATGTTAATAATATTAGGGAAAAAACCCAATGTGAACTCACAGCATTAAAAAGCAGTATTTTTTCCTAGCTATGTGTTTCAACAGCAGTAGCAATTTGGTACCGCCTATGATATGGACAGGAGGCAAGGAAATTAAATACTGGGTAAAGAGGGCAGTTCCCTGGCAAAGGCCCCACCCTCGAGCCTGGAAACCCATGGCCCTAAATGAGAAGAGGGATTCATGTTTTCATCCCCAAATGTTGCCTTTTAGCCTACCACACCCCCTATCCTGTACCCATATAAATCCCAAACTCCAGGATCCACGAGCAAAGAGCAAAGGAGCAGAAGAGCTGCACAACAGATGAGAGAAGAGAAGGAGCATCTGAACATCAAGAGGAGTTCAGCTGGGGACAGTTGGAGAGAAGATCGGCTGCTGGATGGCTGAACTCCAGGGGAAGATAATTCTTTCCACTCCATCCCCTCTCCAGTTCCCCATCCATCCCGCTGAGACCCACTCCCATCTGGCAGTACAATTTCCCACATTTACCATCCTTAAATTTGTCTGTGTGACCTGATTCTTCCTGGATGCCAGAAGAGGATCCAGGTACCAAGAGGGCACTGAGCTGGTTAACACTTAAGCCATCTGTGGATGGCAGAGCTAAAAAGAGAACTGTAACACACCCAGTGGGGCTTTGGGAGTCACAGGCACCCACCCCTAGATGCCACTGTGGTGCCGAAGCCCAGAAGAGCTTACCCTGGCTCCTGCACCTGCCCAACTGCATGCTCCCCCTCCTATAAGGGGTTTGAGCCATGATAGTGGCCGAACACACAAGCCACACCCCTGTCACACATCCTGCAAGGGGGGGTCAGGGAACTCTCCCATTTCAGTAGCATTTTGGTCACTGCCTATGCTCACATAAACTCCTAAACGCCCAGATTTGGGTCTCTATCTCTCACCCTCACTAGAAGGAACTAGCACCCCTGGATCACACATACACAAAGAGTAGCATGAACCGAGAGTACCCTATTGTTTCCAGATAGGAAAGATAGTTTCAAAAATGCCAGAGACAGTGCTGAAAGGACAAAGGAGCCAGCTTCAAGGTCTCCTGCTGGCCAAGTTATAATTTGAGAACTGAAATATGATGAGTTTGTGAAAGGCCAACATTTTATAATGATATTCAGAGAAAAGTTAATATATATTAAAGGTAATTAGGATGAACATAGAAATTTGGCTATCATGGGATATGTTTAATTTTTTATTAATTTTAATGAGGAAGTTAATATAAATTAGTTTTTTTATTTCTTCTATTAACTCTATTTGATTTTAAAATATAGACATAAAACTCATGTCAAACTGCATAACTAGAGAAGAGGTAGTACAGGAAACAGAGTTAGGCAAACTACCCAGGGAAAATATACAGAAACTCTACCAAGAACAGGAGGGCCTTCTAAGCACCAGTGGTCACACACAATAACTAGAAAAAGATCAAAACTGTGTTCCAAGATGATGAAGTCAACAAATATCTTAAGAAGGAGAATGCATTGTACTACCCTGGTTCTACCTGTCCTGAGAGATGAAACCTCTGGATAGTCTCACTCAGGATGAGACACTAATGAGGCAGCCACACATTTTTAATAACACCAATAGACCAGGCCCAGTTATCACAATGACAGGACAATGGGCTATGTTACGGTAGCCAAGACAGACATCAATGTTTGATAGGGAAATTCCAGGCTACTAAAAACTAAAATCCAGGGGGAAAATGTAGACTTATTTTTTTTTAATTGATGTGAAAAGTCAAGATTAACTTAAGAAGAAAGTAGCAGCCTGATGTCCATGGTTTGGATTTAGATAATCTTCAGAGAAATAATCTGGCCTCCTGCCCTAACTAAGAATCAATGGTTCAACCAGATCCTACGGCCTTGGCTGTCTAAGTTGATATTCCTTTTCTTTCTGGTCTGGAATACTATAACCTTGAGATTTTTGATTAAGTACTGCTATAATCTTAGGTAGTATAGGCATAGTATAAAAAATTAAGAAATGGGGAAGAAAGCAAGACGTTGACATTTTGGGAATAGACATAGGTATTAGTAACATTTTTCATGATCATTGTATTTGTGTATGTTTTGTGGTTTGATATATTTGAAGTGCTTAAAGGGATGGCATGGAAAACAGGGACTAAAAATTGTCCTTTAAAACAAATGACACAGAAGAATTTTTATTGAATCTTTCGAGATTAGTTTCTATTGCATTGATAGCAGAACAGACTGTAGTGGGTTGAGAAGCAGATGGAAATGGTTAAGACTAGGGTGAGACAAGAGCCTTGGGGCTAAATATAAGGGGAGCAGGGTGCCAAAAATGAACTAATCAAGATAAATAATTTTTTTCTTTTTCATATCAGATAATGCATCTACTTCATAAAAAGATTTGAGGGAGACACATCTCACGCATTGGCATGAAAACCCAATCATCATACTTATAAACTGCAAAAGGAGCAAGGTTGATATTTTAAGGCACTGTTTTTTAAGAGTCAAAATTAATGTAAAGAAGTCTATGATAAACAAAATGTCCATATTACATACTGGCGGGATGAAAACTAAGAGTGTGGGTGCCCATAATAGGTCCTTTTAAAAGCTGTCTGTGTGCAAGAAAGAAGGGAGCTTGGGCTGGAAGGAAAGCAAAAGTCCACGGAGGTGGGTTGGCTTGCTTTCAGCTTTCAAGAATGGAGAACCTTGAACATATGCCAATGCTTAGGTGATGGCCTAAGTCCAATCCTTTCTCATCCAGTCGTAATTATGGCGAGGCAGAGGAATTTGGGCCCTCCGGTTGGAGATACAGGACAAACGAATTCTTCCTGAGTGCATGGTATTGGGGTCGGGGAGGAGAAAAGCTTTCATGGGACAGTGGGATGTCTTGCCTCAAATGACAAGTAGTTCTATCCTCCTGAGAACACACAGGCTTTCTTATCACTTTTTCCAATTTGTATTGATTTGATGAGCCTCTTTGCCCACATCCTGCTTATAGGTCTGCCCAGGCTCACTTCTCTTTTCTTTCAGCTTCTTTCACTTTGCCAGGACACCATTGTGAGGGTTGGATTGGGGAGAGAAACTCCACACCTTGTTACTTAAAGTGCAGTTGGGGACCATGCCAGCTGGCAGCTTGTGTCTTGTCTCAGATCCTGCCTCATTGAGAAGCACCACTTATACCTCTGGCCTCAAACTTGCTCTGCATGGGAGGCACTTGGAGGCCTGCAAAAAAATGCCAATTGTGAGTTCTCCCCCACCCGCTCCTGGATCCTGATTTAATGGGTTGCTCTCACTGCACTTCTCAACATGGCTGGGGCATCAGGATTCTTGAAAACTCCCAGGTGATTCTAGTGTGCAGCAAAACAGTAAAGTTTGAGAACCACTACTCTGCATCACCTACTCCCCTTTCCTAGCTTCTGTGTGGCCATTTACCAGCAACTAGAAGAAGGGCAGAGGAGAAAGGAAATAATCATTTTTGTCTTTGATTCGGGATCATAGGTGGTAAGATTGATGATTTTCCCTCCAGGGGTCCTGTGCCTGAAACTTTTTCACATTAAAGCCAATCAGTTATCTAGTAAGTGTATTAGCTATTGGATTCTATGTTATCTCATGTGTGGGTTCCCACAGCCTATGAATACGAGTATGTTCTCACATATTTTCATTTCCCTTTGAAATTCCAATGAACACTCCAGGTTGGAACAGCCCTTGCATACTGGGGCAACAACTCTGCAACTTTTCTTTCCAAATTTCAAAGTTTAGTTTTTAAGTAAGAGGCTTATTTACTCACATAAGCTTATGGGTTTTCCCAGGCAAAAGGGGCAGTTTTAAGTTTAATCAAATTTGGGGGAACTTTATTAGTGTCAGCTGGTTCACTATCTTTTCTCTGAAAGTGCTTCAGAACCACAATAGCCGAGTGCTTGCCTTGTTTTGATCATGGAGGTAAGACATCACTTTGTTCCGCAAAGACTGAAGTTATCAGTTGAAGTTAGAGTTGCTCATTTTGAGGCCTCCTTTTGTTTTTCAAACCAATTACAATGATTTGATCAAATAATTGGCCAACAGTATTGTTTTAGTCAAGGTTCCCCAGAGAAATAGAACCAATAAGACATATATATGTATATATAGAGACAGAGATGAAGGATTTATTAGAGTATTTGACTCATTTAATTATGGAGGCTGAGAAGTCCCAATATAGACCAACTGCAAGTTGGAGAACCAGAAAAGTCAGTAGCTTGACTCAATCCCAATCCCAAGGCTTCAGAACCAAGGAAGCTGTCAGTGTAATTCTCAGTCCAAGGCCAAAGGCCCAGGAGCTGCTGGTGTGAGTCAAAGGCCAGAGAAACTGGAGTTCTGATGTCTGAAGACAGGAGAAGAAGGGTCTCCTGGCTTTGGAAGTGAGAGGATGAGAATTTGACTTTACTCCTTTTTGTTCCCTTCAGGCCCGCAGCCCATTGGATGGCATCTGCTGCATTGAGAGTGGATCTTCCCCATTCTAGTTCACCTACTTACATGCCAGTCTCCCCCAGGAGCACTCTCACAGACACACTTAAGGCAGCCGAATTATTCTAATTAAATGCCAAATGAGTTGAGTTTCCCTTTCAGCAGAAGGGGAATGGGCTCAGTGCCCTACTGAAGCACTGAGAATAAATAATGCCTTCCCAGCTATTTGGGTTCCTTTGATCCAGTCAAGTTGACACCCAAATCAACTTTCATAATATTTCTGTCTTAGTATGTTTGTACTGCTCTAACAAAATACTGCAGACTGGATCATTTATAGAAGACAAACATTTATTTTTCTCACAGTTCTGGAGGCTGGGAACTCCAAGATCAAGGCACCAGCAGGTTTGGTTGCCTGGTGAGGGCTGTGTCTGCTTCTGAGATGTTGCCTTCATGGCACATCCTCTGGAAGTGAGGAACACTATATCCTCAGGGGTAAAAGAGCAAATGAGTCAAACACTGTGTGAAGCCTCTTTTATAAGAACCTCAATCCCACTCACAAGGGAGGAGCCCCCATAGCCTAAACATCTCTTAAAGGCCCTACCTCTTAATACTATCATATTGGCAACTCCTGAATTTTACAGGGGACATATTCAAACCGTAGCAAGTACAAACCCTAAACTGAGAAAGAGGAGGAAGAGTAAAAGGTAGAGGAGAAGAAAAATAGGAAGAAGATGAAGACAAACAACACAACAAGCAGCTTTGATGCACAGAATATGTCTCAGACATGGAACAGCACAGAACAGCTAGTAGGTGCCCATCAGTCACTGCTTGAATGGATGAATGGATAAATGGATAGATGGATGATCTGCCATCCATGGCTCTTTATCAAAGCCTAAGGATCTTCTCTGAATGAAACAATCATGGTAGGGTAGGGTAGGGAAATTTATTTTTCTGGAGAATAATGATTGACCTGGGGTCCAGATGAAATAAGATAAAGGGCCATCTGGTGAGAAGTCCTCAACCCAAAATAGGATTAGGCTGCAGAGATGGCAGCTGGCCACACAAATTTCATTCCTGTTGACCACTTTTT